GCAGGGGCGGGGAGGTGCAGCCCTCCCCAGCCAGGGAATTAATTCAACAATTACTGCACCGGGACTGCTTCTGACCCCACGCAGCCGACACTAATTGGGCCCCAATCAAGAGCGTAATTCAGGTTAATTGGCTCCCCGCCGCCAGCCCCCATCAGACTCCTTCAGCATGGGGCTGCTGTTTAAGAGTGATTAATCAGCTGACACTGACAGCCGGGGCACCCGGGGCGTGGGGAGCCAGGCAGGGGCCAGTGGGAGACCCTCCCAGGTGGGGAGGGGGTCCCCCTACCGGCTTCCTATGTACTGTCCCCATGGCATGCCCTCCTGCTCTTTCCCTCCTGTGTGGCCCCTGGGCAGCTCATCCCAGCCACTACTGACGGGCGTGGGCGAGCTGTACTTTGCAAGCCTCGGTGTTTGCACCTCTGAAGTGGGTGTGCTCGGGCCCCTTGCAGGGCTGTCCCGAGGCTTGTGGTCACCTCTCCAAGAGAACTGAGGCGGCGGCCACCAGGAAGGGGCTGCTCTGTCTTGGGAGCCTCCATGTGGAGCCCATTCCCCAGGGGCCTCGCGACTGCCTTGTGGGAGCAGGACCCAGACGAAGGGCAGGGGCTCTGGGCAGCCCACCACCCTTGCTCCAGACAGTGACCTCTGGTCCTGGCTGCCTGGACGTGCCCAGCGTGGAGTTCTCCACCTCTGGAGGGGTCTGTAGACCTACGAGCATCCTTGTTGAGGCCACCCCCTCCTCTGTAGGACATGATAGACTTGAGGGGCCTGTGGCCCCACTGGCCTTTGACCCCCACGTCCTGGGCCCGGCTCCTGGGGGGCAGCAATAGGGCCCAAGGGTGCCCAGGGCAGCGAGGGCATCGGTGAGTGGGTTGGAGGTGCTCTTGTGGGGTGCCCAGGACGGGCCTGGACGAGGTCCAAGATGCTGCTGGACCTAAAGCTCTTTGTCTGAAGGCCTCTGGCACCTGGGGTGCAGCTGCTCCCCAGGGTCGGCGGAGGAGACGGGTCAGGGCCTGGACTGTGGTCAGTGTGGGCTACCATAACCGACCCTACAGATGGGCGGCGGAAACAGTGGACATTTACAGTCTCGAGACTTCGGAGACCGGAAGTGCGAGATCAAGATGTTGGCATGGCCGGCTGCTTCTGCCGCTGGAGGGGGACTCTGCTCCAGGCCTCCCTCTTGGGCTACAGACGGCTGTCTGTGTGTTCACATGGCCTTCTACCCTGGATGACCCTGCTCTAACCCAGTAGCCTCCGTGAAAGCCCGTCTCCTGTTCAGGCCGCACTCTGAGGTCCTGGGTGAGGTTCAGTGTCTCTCTCGGGAGCTCAGCTCAGCCTATAACCCTGGGCCTCCCAGGTCTGTGTCCTGGAGTTCCCGTAGCAGGGGGCCAGGGCGGCGCCCACAGTGTGGGGTCATGAGACCTTGGTGTGGACGAGGGTGCCCCCCAGCTTGGCAAGTAGGGCTTCGGGGGTCCTAGGCCCCTATTATCCTTCCCACAGCCTCTACCTGGGTCCCTGGGCTCCTCCTGCCTTTAAAAATGGCTCTGAAAGTGAAAGTGAAGTCGCTCAGTCGTGTCTGACTCTTTGTTACCCCATGGACTATAGCCTACCAGGCTCCTCCGTCCATGGGATTTTCAAGGCAAGAGTACTGGAGTGGGTTGCCATTTCCTTCTCCAGGGTTCTAGCTCCATGTAAAAAAGGTGTGCCAGTTCTTAGCACCTCGAGTGGCCCTTCCAGGCCCGTCTCCCTTGTTGGATGCAGTGGTGTTAACAGGAAATCTCATCATGCCTCCTAAAGATGTCTCCTCCACGCTTTACCGGAAGGTCATGGATGTGGTAAGGACACGTCCGTCGGGAGCCAGAAAGGTCAGCCCATCAGTCAAGGTGGTGTCCGGGGTGGCTTCCTGCTCCCTGAGCTCCAGGAGGGGCTTCATCTCACTGGCTGCTCCTGGGGGAGCCCAGTGTGGCCTCTGTTCCCTCCCCAGGGCCAGCCCCCACCCCACTGCTGGGGCCAGGCTGGGCTGAGCCCTGCAGCTCTCGGCGATCCAGCCCAGCCCCGCAGAAGCTTCCTCCATCCCTGTGGGTGAGGCTGCAGGTGCCGGGGGCTGAGCAGAGGCTGGGGGTGGCGGGGCTCTGCCTTGTGCCATGGGAGGGGGTCCCAGGGGCCTGGACCGCAGCGCATCTCATCAAAGCCTGCCTCTGCTCCTCCATCTGTCCTCACCTGAGCATCTGGAGGCCCCTGGCCCGCCTGTCATCGCCTGCCTGCCTCTTCTCCTTGAAGTCGCATGGGAGACCCAGCATGGTTCGCTGCAGGGAGAGGAGGAACAAGAAGGGGTGGGCCTACTGGAGTCTGGCAGGGCTGGCAGGGCCCGGGGATGCTGCCTGTCATCCCCGTTCCCCCCGGTTACCTGTCCTGCTGCTCTTGGGGCCACTCTCCCTCCAGCCAGGTGCCTGGGCTGCTGCCGCGGCTCCCAGCCCCACTGCTTTGCTTCCCCTGCTCTGTTTGACCTGGTGGTGAGGTGTGGAGGATGCACAAAGGGGCACCAGGGAGGCATGGGCCTGGCATAGATGGAACCCACGCAGGCGCTCAGCTGCTGTCCACCTCGGGGTCAGCCTGAGGGTCCAGGAAGGCTGATCCAGGCGGGCCGGGCACAGGCACCCCTCCTGCCGGCTGTGAGCATGAGGCCAGGTGGTCCCAGCTGGCTCTGCCTGGGCCACACGGATGAGAAAGCTGGGACCGTGACGTGCTGTGACCGTCTGGAGCCTGGGAGGCGGGCAGTGTGCCCCAGCCACACACAGGCAGGTTGTGGAAGCCAGCCCTGCCCGACCCTGGCAGCTGTGTTTCTCACGGGCGTCCACATTCCCGCAGATGGTCCCCATCAGTCCTCGTGTGGGGGCCTGGGTGTGCGAGGGGTGCTGAGAGCTTGCAGGGCCCATCGGCCCTTCTGTGGGGGGCATGGAGCGTACGTGCAGGCTTGCCACGGGTGCCGGGTTGGAATCCTGACTGCAGCTCGTGAGCTGGCGGCTCTCTGTCTGCAGACGCGTCGAAGGGCCTGCCAGTCAGTGTCAGGGAGGCGCTGAGTCCACGCAGCCCCAGGGGGATGCTGGACACACACAACGTTTCTGAAAGGGGGCTGTCCTGCCGCACACGGACCGCAGGCGCTGTCCAGGGTCCTGCAGGGTCTCTGGCTTGGAGCCCGTTTCCCTCGGAGCCCCTCCCTGCCAGGAGGGCTGTGGGTTTCTGACCTCTCCACCCCCAGCTGTGGGCTCCCTGAAGGCTGCATCTGATTCACTCCTTCTCCTCCCCCACACAACTGGCATGTCAGGGCAGCAGTGTGACCTGTGACAATAGCTGGGCAGCGGGGCAGAGAGGTCCAACCTCAGATGAGCACCACACCATCTGTGAGGCCGGGGCAGGTCACTTAACCTCTCTGAGCCAAGTCCTGGCCCAGGACATGGTGTGACAGTACTTGTCTGCAGGCCTGGGAGGCAGGGCTGTTCTGATTATGGCTGGTCATCAGGCTGGAGTGGCACTGAGGCAGTGAAGAGGGGCGTTGCTCATCCTTCCATCACCCAGCAAATCTAAGACACCACCCTGAACCAGAGTTAAGTCCCGCCTACTCCAGCAACCCCGCCTACCCTGTCCCTGCCAGGTTCTTCCCTTCCCCATGGCTGAGTCAACGTTCCACTGTAATGTCCACTCTAGAGCCCAGAGCCACCTTGAGAGAGTGGATGGACAGAAAGGTGGATAGATTGGTGTGTAGTGTGTGTGTGTGTGTGTGTGTGTGTGTGTGTGTGATCATGTTGGTGGATGGGTGGATAGGTGGGTGGATGAATGAGTGGATGAGTAGATGGAAGGATGGGTGTGTGTGTGTGTGTGTGTGTGTGTGTGTATGTGATCATGTTGGTGGATAGGTGGGTGGATGGATGAGTGGATGAACAGATGGAGGGATGGGTGTGTGGACTGGCAGGTAGGTAGATCAGTGGAATGAATGGATGAGTGATGGAAGAATGGAAGGAGTGCAATAATGATGGGATGAATGCAGGGCCAGCCCCAACATCTGCTATCTGATGGCTCAGATGAGCTGTCGGGGGACTCATCCTTGACCTCTTTCCCTTTTCTTGAGTGTCCCGTCACAGCCAGGTTCTGAGGTTTCCCCTCCTGGTCTTGCCCCCATCCTCTCCGATTCGCCTTCTGCTTGAGGCCTTTGTCCTTCCAGGGATCGGTCTTCCTTCTCCTCCCCATCCTCCTATTTACTTCCTAAATCACTAACTCTTGTGAAGTTAGAGGCCTTGTCACTAACCCTCTTGAACTGCTTGGTGACCTCCCAGGCTATTCTAAGCTCTCGCTTTGCCCCAGGTTCCACCTTGGTCCCTTACCTCCCACCGGCTGGCATGCCTGGGGAGTCACACCCCCTCCATTCAGGACCTGGAGAGTTAGAACCCTCCCTGATGAGTTCTCTGGCACTGATCTGTGTGTCTTCCTGCCCTGAGGCCTTTGATGGTGGGCCGGCAAGTTGTAAATTTGTAGTGACCACAGCAACATACAGGAATAAGGAACGTTTCTGCAGAGGGCTTCACGGCCAGCGTTGGTCAGACTCCATGCTGTGTACTTGCCATGTGTCATCTTATTAATTCCTCCAAGTGTCTCCTGGAGTCCATGGCATCGTCTTGTACTTGCAGAAGAATCCAAGGTCCCAGGAAGGGACGTGGCTAAGGAGGAGGGCAAATCAGGAGCCACACATAGGCCTGGCCGCCTCTGGAGTTGCGGGCATCTCACTGGCTCTCCTGCCTCCTTTCCTGTGGGCCTGGGTCCAGGGCCAGCCCAGAGCGGCTCTTGGATGACTATGTGCCATCTCAGGGCAGAGCCCCCTGCAAGGGACAAGGTCTGTGTGGGCCTTGGCCTCAGGTGGACCCACCCCACTCCAGTCACAGGCCCACTGTCCCCCAGGATGGGAGGCCAGGAACTCAACACATGACAACAGCCTCTGTCTCTCTTTCCAGCTCCAGAGACGCAAGGTCAAGTGCTTCCTCCTGGCGGCTGGTGTCACTGTCCTGCTGGTCATTGTCCTCATTGTTGCCACCTCTGTCCGAAAGTGACGCCGCCTGGGTAGGTGCCATCCCTGCCCCCCTGCCAACCATCTGTCCTCCTTGTACCACCCCCATCCATTTATTTACCCATCCACCACCCACCACTTATCCGTCCACTCATCTCCCCATCTCTGATCCACCCTGCTGCTGCTGCTGCTAAGTCGCTTCAGTCGCGTCCGACTCTGTGCGACCCCATAGATGGCAGCCCACCAGGCTCCCCCGTCCCTGGGATTCTCCAGGCAACAATACTGGAGTGGGTTGCCATTTCCTTCTCCAATGCATGAAAGTGATAAATGAAAGTGAAGTCGCTCAGTCGTGTCCGACTCTTAGTGACCCCGTGGACTGCAGCCTACCAGGCTCCTCTATCCATGGGATTTTCCAGGCAAGAGTACTGGAGTGGGGTGCCATTTCCTTCTCCAATGCATGAAAGTGAAAAGTGAAAGTGAAGTCACTCAGTCATGTCTGACTCTTCGCGACCCCATGGACTGCAGCCCACCAGGCTCCCCCGTCCATGGGATTTTCCAGGCAAGAGCACTGGAGTGGGCTGCCATTTCCTTCTCCCTGATCCACCCACCTGTCCACTTATACATCGGTTCATTCTCCGATGTGTCAGCCACGGACTGGGCCCTGCTGACCAGTGGTGAACAAGGCTGAGGGCAGCCCACGTGCCTGGAGCTCACAGCCCAGGGCAGACTCTCCTGAAAACCCCTGTGTAAGCACTGACTTCCGGAAGGTCATGACTGACCAGTCCCCTGGGACAGTCGTGAGCAGAGTCAGGCAGTGGACCCTCCTCGGAGCTTCAGAGGTGCCTAAGGCCCTGCTGGCCCTTGTTTTGGGTCCTGGCCTCCAGAGTGGGAGAACACCCCCCCCCATCTGTGGTCATCTGTGACGGCAGCCCAGGGCATAGATAGAGCGCCGGGTGTCACCCTTGGGGGCAACGTGCCTGCTACTTGGGTCATTCTGCTCACAATGGTGGGACAGTCGTCGTCAGCACCAGCCAGCAGGGGAGACTAAGGCCCACAGTCACACGCAGGACACCGCCATGTCCCAGCCTGGGCTCCGTCGTGGCCCGGAGGTGAGGGCCCACGATGAGGGGCTGCCTGCGCTCCTGGGCCCTGGGCAGGGATAGTGCCTGGCGCTGAGGGGCCAGCAGGGAGGAGCTGCCCTCCGCCTGGGCCTCTTGACCGCTCCAGCCACCTCTCATCTCCTTCGGTTTTCCCCACCGCTCTCCTTTGCTCTGAGGGCTGCCCAGCCCTCCCGCCCCACCCTCCCCTGCACACCCAGCTGTGACCCTACCCCAGGGCCAAGCAGCGCTGCACCCTGAAACCCTGAACCCCTCCCACTGTGAGAGGGAACCCAAGGATGTGTTCTCGGGCCAGGCGCACAGACCCCTCGGGAACAGCTGATCCACCTCCAATGAGCTCCCGGCTGGAGCAGCCTGACCGCAGCCGTGCCCGTCCCCTGGGGAGACGGAAGGTGAGGCTGAGACCCAGGCCACATGGCCGGCCAGTAGCCCCTTTGTGGCCCTTGGGCTCAGAGGGCAGGAGAGGTCTCCAGCTCCTAGCAGCTCATAGACGAACAGTGGGGAGGGCCTGGGGCTAGGGCAGCTCAGACCCTGGTAGACAAGCTGGGAGTCAGGCCCCAGGACATCTGGGCGGGGGTCTGTGGGTGTGGGTGTCCCCGGGCCCTGTGGGACCAGGGGAGCCCTGAGCCCATCCCTGTAGGGACACCTCGTCTCTGGCGCATCACCAAGCTGGGAGAGACCCCAGCCTGTCACGCTCAGGCGCCCTCTGTGACCCTCAGGCCAGGCGGCAGGGGCCCGCGGGATCTGGAGCCCACCTGCTCTGGGCGTGGCTTCTGCAGAGTGGAGGGGCTCCGTCTGCCTCTCTCTTGCTGCCAAGTTGCTCTGAGGACAAAGGCAGATAATGGCTAAATATAAACAGTGCTTTGAGGAAGGAAAAGGCTCTATTCAAATGCAGGGGGTTATTACTTCTGCTGAAAAAACAGGCCCTGAGGGAGGGGCTCCCTGACACCCGCAGCCTCACAAGCCCGTTTCTGTGTGTGTGGGTCGGGCAAGGCCCTGCCCTCCAGGGGTCTCCCAAGGAGGGGGTGCGGCCCTACATCACCCCCGCCCCCACTGTCCAGGCCACCCCAGGACCCCTGCCGACTCCCGGGGCTGTGACTCCCCTATGCTCAGTTCTTCCCAGCTGCCGAGGTGTGCAGGCCCATCTCTGCCAGGTCCTTATGGGGGCTGGGGGTTGGGGGTGTGTGGGCGGGGCAGGTCAGGACCTGCAGGTCTCCAAAGTGGAAGGACCCCCTGCCTAGCCCAGCCAGCCTCGCTCACCTGTGAGCCCCTGCACTCAATTTACAGCAGCATGAGGGCTTGTCTAGAACCGGGGTCAGGGCTCAGAGCGGGACCGGGGTCAGGGCTCAGAGCGTGACCGGGATCAGGGCTCAGAGCGGGACCGGGGTCAGGACTCAGAGCGTGACCGGGGTCAGGGCTCAGAGCGGGACCGGGGTCAGGGCTCAGAGCGGGACCGGGGTCAGGGCTCAGAGCGCGACCGGGGTCAGGGCTCAGAGCGGGACCGGGGTCAGGGCTCAGAGCGGGACCGGGGTCAGGGCTCAGAGCGGGACCGGGGTCAGGACTCAGAGCGGGACCGGGGTCAGGGCTCAGAGCGGGACCGGGGTCAGGGCTCTGTGTGTGACCAGGGTCAGGGCTCAGAGCAGACCAGGGTCAGGGCTCAGAGTGTGACTGGGGTCAGGGCTCAGAGCGGGACCGGGGTCAGGGCTCAGAGTGTGACCAGAGTCAGGGCTCAGAGCGGGACCGGGGTCAGGGCTCAGAGCGGGACCGGGGTCAGGGCTCAGAGCGGGACCGGGGTCAGGGCTCAGAGCAGGACCAGGGTCAGGGCTCTGTGTGTGACCAGGGTCAGGGCTCAGAGCAGACCAGGGTCAGGGCTCAGAGTGTGACTGGGGTCAGGGCTCAGAGCAGACCAGGGTCAGGGCTCAGAGTGTGACTGGGCTCAGGGCTCAGAGCGTGACCGGGATCAGGGCTCAGAGTGTTACTGGGGTCAGGGCTCAGAGCGGGACTGGGGTCAGGGCTCAGAGTGTGACCAGGGTCAGGGCTCAGAGTGTGACTGGGGTCAGGGCTCAGAGCGGGACCGGGGTCAGGGCTCTGTGTGTGACCAGGGTCAGGGCTCAGAGCAGACCAGGGTCAGGGCTCAGAGTGTGACTGGGGTCAGGGCTCAGAGCGGGACCGGGGTCAGGGCTCTGTGTGTGACCAGGGTCAGGGCTCAGAGCAGACCAGGGTCAGGGCTCAGAGTGTGACTGGGGTCAGGGCTCAGAGCGGGACCGGGGTCAGGGCTCAGAGTGTGACCAGGGTCAGGGCTCAGAGTGTGACCAGGGTCAGGGCTCAGAGCAGACCAGGGTCAGGGCTCAGAGTGTGACCAGGGTCAGGGCTCAGAGCAGGACCAGGGTCAGGGCTCTGTGTGTGACCAGGGTCAGGGCTCAGAGTGGTACCGGGATCAGCCTCAGAGTGTGACCAGGGTCAGGGCAGGGTGGGACCAGGTTTGGGCTCTGTGTGTGATCAGGGTCAGGGTTCAGAGTGTGAGTTGGGTCAGCCTCACAGTGTGACTGGGGTGTGGACCACGTCTGTGGTCCGGATCGAGCCTCCTCAGCCCTGGTAGCGACTTCAGATGACACAGGATCAGAAGCAAGAGTGCCTGTCCTGGTCAAGCCCAGCTCCTGGCCCCAGTGCCTCATCTCGTATCCAACCCCTTTGCCCTTCTGGAAAGTGCTGTTTCCAGAAGTACCTCTAGGCCCGGTTGCTTTAAGCAGATATGAGAGATGAAGGTTTGGCGTCAACCTTGGTTTTCAGGGACGCGATCCCAGAAGCCGGGCAGAGGAAGCTCTGGTGGCTCTGAGTCCCTAGCATGGCCAGGGCATGGGTGATTTCTCGAGATGCAGGGCAGGGTGTCAGGCTGCAGGGACGCTGGTTTCCTGGTGCCCGGCACAACTGGCTGGCAGCAGGATTGCCCAGGTCTCGGCCGTGGCTCTTACGGGGAAGGAGCTGGTGGAACTGGTAGAAGGAGTTGAGTCCTTGGATCTGCGGGGCTTCCCTGTCTCTCTGTCCTCCTGGGCACCCGCAACTTTGGTGTCTACACCCTCAGGATCTCTTTTCATGTTTAACTGTGTTTGCTGTCTGTGTGTCCCTGTGGGCTGTGGGCTCTCTGCGTCACAAGGCCTGGTGCAGAATGCCGGAGCAGCTGGAGGAGGGAGCAGGGGGTCAGGGCAAGCGGGGGCTTGTCCTCACCCACTCCTGCTGGGGTCACAAGGCTGGGCTTCAGCAAATAGGAAATTCCAGTATCTGGGCAACAATCCATGAAGCATTTTTCATGAGCACAAAAATTTAAGGGGCTCAGTGGAGGCTCATAGCAAATCATGTTTTTAATGTTTTCTGAAAGCCGTGAAATATAGACCTCGAAGCCATTATTTCCATTTGGGAAGTGAGTGGTGGGGTCTTCATCTCCAGGCTCCTCTGTGCACGTGTGCGTCTGCAGCTGTGTGTGCGTGCGTGCTTGTGTCTTCTTGTGTGTTGTGTGTGTATTTCTGTGTGCATCTGCATGTGTGTCTGCCTGTGTGTCTCTGTGTGCGCATGTGTGTCTCTGTGTGTACATGTGTGTCTTTGTGTGTATGTGTGTGTCTCTCTGTGTGCATGTGTGTCTGTGTGTACACATGTGTATCTCTGTGTGTGTCTGTGTGTGTGTGTGTGCACATGCGTGAGGTCAGGAGGGAGGGGCAGACCCCACCTTGAACTCCCTGCTCCCCCTTCCCAGAGGCTGCAGTGGTAGACGGAACATAGCATCTGGGTGGGCAGGAGACAACTGTGCTCCATCAGTAGGAGCTTTACATGGGAGAACCTCACTTAATCCTCACCACAGCCCCATGAAGGAGGTGCTGGTGTGTCCTCATTTTTCAGAGGAGAAAACCGACACACGGAGAGATGAAGGGACTTACCCGGAAGGGAACAGCACAGAGGGGTGAGCCTTCTGGGGTTGGGAATGCCAGGGAAATGCTGCCCAGAAGACCAAGTGGCCGTCCAAGATCACAGAGCGGGAGTGCGGGGCCAGACTCCAGCTCGGGTCTGAGCCACCCTGAGGTCTGCGGGGGCTGCAGGTCACCCACATGGCCAGGGTGGTCAGTGGTGCTGTCCTTGGGGCGAGCCTGTGAAGGTGGCTCAGATGACCGCTCTAGGCTGAGCCTGCGAAAGGCCTGATGGCCTGGTCACCTGCGGTCTGGTGACACTGGGCAGCCCTGCCCGCCCTGCCTCAGCAGGTAAGCGTGCCAGCTGGGGGCGCTCAGAGGGCTCCCTGAAGGTCACGCGGCTCCCTGGGCGTTTATGCATGGAAATCTCCCCCTGGGGCCCAGCACTCGCCTTCCAGAGCCCCCGGTCAGCAGGCAGGTGGGCAGAGACCCCTGGGCGAGGCTGGAGGCAGCGGGAGGAGGGGGAGGGGCTGTGGCCCCATCGCGGCCCCGATCTGTGAAGGGGCGTCCGTGCTGCCTCTGCAGTGACTATGGGCATCAGCGGCAACGGCCCAGAGGAGTTCCGCCTCCATGACAGGTTGTCTCCTCACCACGCCGTCACCGTCGCAGTGGTGTTGCTGTTGTCACGAGCCCGCCCTCGTTTGTGGAGCTGGGACTCAGCTGGCTTTTCTCTCTAATGTTCCCACACGGCCCTCCAGCCAGCAGGGCTGTGGCTTGTCCTCCCTGTCGCCTCGGGCAGGACGCACGGGCACAAGTCCGAGCAGCCCAGAGGTCGGCGATGCCTCCGTCTGGTTCAGTGAACACCCCCGCCCCTCCCGCTGGGAAGCGGACCCAGCACTGCTCCCGCGGCGCACAGCCAGGGGAGAGGCAGTCCCCCGAGGCGCTGACCTGTCAGGAGCAGAGTGGAAGCCGGAAGGGGCGCAGCTCTGCAGCGAGGGCTTCCTGGAGGAGGTAGTTCTTGAGAGCTGAGGACTGAGAGCTGGGTATGGGCTCCTCCACCAAACAAGGAGGTGGGCTCTTGGGGCCGGGAGCCGGGCCAGGCAAAGGCCTGGGGTCACTGTCAGTGGAGCGCGGCAGCAGGAGCCAGGCCAGGCTGCGTTCAGGAGGCCCCGGGCTTCCGGGGCCGCTTGTCAGAAGCAGAGTTTGCTCCCTGCAAGCCCCCTTCCCTTCGCGTGTGATGGCCCCACCCCTCGGCACCCCCAGGCTGGGCAGATGGCCACGTGAGGGGGGCCTGGCCCAGCAGCCAGTGGGAATGCCCCCCACCAGGACAAAGGTGGAAGAGAACAAAAGCATGAAAGTGCTGGCAGCCGCACAGAGGTGTGAAGACGGGAGGGGCTGGTGGACGGTGTGACGGCATCTGCCAGCCGCTGGGAGGGGGCAAGGTGGAACTGCGTGGAGCCTTTCAAGTCCCAGCCTGGGACCCGCAGCTGGAGCAGCTGCCCCAGGTGCCCACGGGGACGTGGCAGGCTTCCTCTCCTGCGAACTGGCTGCCGACCTGCCCGACCACACGCCTCCCCAGAAGCAGGAGTTCGGGCTCCCCAGTGACTCCTGAAACCCAGGCTGGAAACCTCGCTCAACCCCAGCCCCTCGGCCTTTGTTCCCATCGTGGGGGGGTAGGGGTGCTTGAGGCCGTTGTTCCCAGCTCCTGGGGAGGTGGCCGTGGCCCTCCGTGTCCCTGGGGCAGCCCCTGCCCTCACCGTCCCCCCTCCCTAACCCCCTCCCTTCCAACAGCTGGCACTGGCCTCAGATTTGGTTCTGTGACTCCGGGCTCTGGGGCTGCACCTGTCCAGGGGTCACACTGTCCCTGGAGTGTGCCAGAATCCCAGGCTGTGCCAGGGCCCCGGGCCCTCAATGACATCAGGACAGGAGCGGGGGTACCTGATGATGCCAGCCAGGGCCCCTCTGAGTGGGGGAGGGCGAAGCCCAGCGCCACTCCCATCCCCCTGGCCCACCTTGACCCCGGGGTCAGGCCACTGAGCCATCCAGCCCTGTGTCCACTGTGACGACCCCACTCACCAGGTGGCAGGAGGACACCGCCTAAGGCCAAGGGTTTGGTGAGAGCGCGTCTGTGTGGTGGCATGGCCCTGGGTTTGGGTCCCACCCACCGTCTCCACCGGGGGCAGGGGGCAGGTCCACAGCTCCTCAGAGCTTTGGTATCAGACCCGTGAGGGGGACAGTCCCCGCCCCGATGCAGGGCTGTGCAGTCATGGGGCTCCTGCAGGGGCCCCGTCCATCAGCCCAGTGCGGCGGTGAGGGCCTGGCCACTTTCCTCCCCTTGCTTCTCCAGAGCCACGCAGGAGGCAGCGGGTAGGGTCCTGCCCTCGGGGACCCCCTGAGAAGAGGCCTCCAGGCCCCACTTGCAGGGCAGGCACTTAGAAGGGAGCCGCCTGACAGAGGAGAGAGGGCCTCACTGCAGAACGAGGACTTCAGGGGAGCTGGGGGAGCCCCTGGACCTAAGTCTATGAAGCAAGCATTCTGAGGGTCAGCTGCGCTTCGCAAGGATGCCCCACCCTGCCCCCCAACTGTTTCCCTGCTCAAAGCAAGCAGTTTTGCTTCTGGGTACTTCTCAGTAATTGCAATAATAAATTGAATAATTAAGCTAAATCCACAGAACAGAATTAAATATTAATTTCTAATAAGCTATTCAGAGAGTGTCACCAGGGAGGACCAGCAGACTGTATCTGTGCTGGGTGCTCTCCTGCTCAACCCTTGAACTCTCCCTCCCAGGGCAGGGCTAACCCACATGCAGCCTTGGTCCAGGGGGCGATGGTCAGTCGGCCAGCGGACACATGAGACTGGCATCAGGCCCAGCAGTGGAGGAGGAGGCCCAGGGGTCTGGGCCTGGATCCCCATGGCAGATGAAGTTGCCTGTCACCAAGGGGGTGGGTGCACCACTGGCAGAGTGGTGAGTGGGTGAGAAATGACTCATCTGAGGGATGTCGACAGTGACCTGAGGGTTGGGCACCACCCCCTCCCGGACCTGGGGAGCCAAGCCCCGCCTCTGTGGTGCCTGCACCTCGAGAAGGACTCTCGCCATCACCCCACAGCCCAGGGAGCTCAGGGGTGATCTGAGCCCCAGGCAGTCAAAGGATGGTGCTCCAGACAGACCCTAGGGCAGCCTGCTCCCACTCTGAGTCCTGCCCCTGGTCCCACTCTGAGCCCTGAGCCTGGTCACACACTGACCCCTGAGCCTGGTCCCACTCTTGGGTCCTGCCCCTGGTCCCACTCTGAGCCCTAACCCTGGTCACACTCTGGGTCCTGGCCCTGGTCGCACTCTGAGCCCTGACCCTGGTCACACTCTGGGTCCTGGCCCTGTTCACACACTCAGCCCTGCCCCTGGGCACACTCTGGTCATGGGATGGACCTGACTCAGAGCCTGATCCTGGCTGTAGACCCGGCCCTGACCCTCCTCTTAAGAGATCAGAAAGCACGGGGCAGGCAGAGTGTGGCTGCGGCATGAAGTTGATGGTGAGGTGGGGAAGGTGCAGGTTATGGGTCTAAATCAACCCAGTGTCCCTGAGACCCTGGGGGTCTTTGGAGCCAGGCACCATCTTGATGAGGTGGGGGTTGTGTGAAGCCCCTGTGGCCCCCGCGGTGACGACACCCTGAGGAGACGGGAACTGAGGAGGTCGGCCAGGGCAGGAAGAGGGTGCAGCAGGGATGGGGGCAGCACAGGGCTGCGGGTCGTGCAAAGCTCAGAAAGACAGCCCCCTCCAGCCCCAAAACCCTGAGAGTCAGTCTCTGCACCGTGGACCTATGTGTGCCCCCCCTGGAGGCCCCGCAGACCCCCAGCCCGGGGGAGATCCCAGTGCCAGCAGCTCAGCCCTGCAGGCCGCGGCCTCCCATCCCAATTGCCTTCCAGATCCCGGCAGCCTCCCGTCTGTTCAGATCCAAAGGTCTCCCCCGCAGCCGCGCATCAGAGCCATGCGGCTGAGGCTCCGCCTCCAGAGGACGGAGCAGCAGGCAGGGTGCTTGGGGTGGGGGCCGTGTGCTGGGTGCGGGGGTCCCCCACTTGAGTCCACTCATGCAGGTGGAGATGCGCCTGCAGAGGGCAGGGTGGGGTCTGCACAGGCCTGGGCTCGGGGGTCAGCAGGGGGGTGCTGAGTCTCCACCATCCTGCCAGCCAGAGCCTGTGCCCAGGCTTCCAGGAAGGGCTAAGCCAGCTTGGGGGTGCCAGCTGACAGTCGCCCCGTTTTACCAACCAGGAGACAGAGCTTAGAGGCCCCAGCCTGCAGCTGGCTCTCGGGACAGGGTCTCCCGTGAAGCCGGCTTTGAGAGGGCATCCTGGGAGGGGGCCTGGGAAGAAGGTGACAGGCACGAAGGTGGGGTGTGGGGACGGGAAGGTGGGTGAGGATACAGAGGAGACACACAGGCTCTCTGGGGAGGGGGCTGAGGCAGGCGCAGCTCTGAAGGGCGCCCACGTGGGCTGAGCCTCAGTCACCCTTTGGGGCCGGCGTCTGGGGGCGGTTGGGGAGTGGCCGCTGCTCCCCTCCGGCCTCCCCCGCTTCTTGGGACTCAACATTCCCTCCAGGAGGAGGGCAGGCAAGCTTGCTCAGCAGGGATGGAAGCACAGACCAGCAGCGGTTCTTGTGGTCTTCAGAGGGGCTGTGGGGAGGTGAGGGAGGTGGCTCGCGCCTGGAGAACTCCACGTGCAAGGGGTGCCCGGGTGCGGCGGAGGGGGAGGCCCTGTTCCTCAGGGCTTCTGCAGGGGCCTGGTCAGTGCCTGCCCGGCGGGCTGTGATTTTCAACAGTGCGCTCTGGGGCCTCATTAAGAGGTGCCGTTTGAGGAGCTGCCCTTCACCCGCTGGCTCGCGGCTCCAGGGTGGTGGTGGGGCCCCCAGCCTGTGCACACGCGCGTGGCCACAGTCCTTGTGTTTCTGAGGAGGACATGCGGGCTGCGCTGCAGGGGGGCGGTGGCGGTCAGTGGGGCCCTCGGGGCCGCAGGGGCCGGCCGGCTGTGACGTCCCAGAAGGGAGAGGCCGGGGGCCAGGAGGCGCCGAGAAAGTGCCAGGCGTGTGGCTTTGGAGGTAGGAGAGAGCAGGGCAGCCGGGCTGGACTTGCGGGTGAGGATGGGCTGGGCAGGGGTGGAGGGAGGGCAGCGAGGTCTGGGGAAGCCTGACCTGGGTCGGGGGGAGGGGCCCGCGCCGGCACCACGGCCCTGGCGTCTCCCCTCCTGGGACCTCTGCCTTCTCACCTGTGAGATGGAGGCTGGCCGTCAGGGCCCACCCTCCTTGCCGCCTTGTGACTCACTGCCCAGCCTCCTGCCCCCGGGGGCGCAGGGACAAGGACCCCAGCTCCAACAGCCCTGCCCAAGGGGGAGCCCTCGGCTCCCCCAGGAGGCTGGTGTGCGGGGAGACCCAGGCCTCCTCCCCGTCTGCTCTTGCCGCAGCTGAGCCTGGCTCTCTCGCCAGGAGCTGACGGAGCCTCTTGTGTTGCAGGCCGATGATGTCGCCTGGCCTGCATGGACCCGCAGAGCTTCGCACCCGCCTGCCGCCTGCCGCGTGCCGACCCCCAGCCTCTGTGCCGGCCCCTGGCTAAGCCACCCAATAAACTGCCATCAGAGCCAGCTACAGGGGCGCTGATCCCCATCTGTCATCCGTCAGCGGGAGGCAGCTCTGAGACCCCAGAGATGGAGCCTGGGCTGCGTGGGGTGGGAGGGGTGGCAGGGGCGTGTGTTGAGTGTGTGAGTGCGGGGTGAGATGGCCGCGTGGGCAGGAAATGCGAGATGGGGGAGGGCCTCCACTGCCTGTGGGAGCCCAGCCCAGCCGTGGCCCTCCCCGTCCTCCCCGAGGACCAGCGGGCAGCCCCCCACCTCCAGCCCCCCTCCAGCTCCCGAAGTGATGTCACAGCTTCTCTGCCTCCGGTTGCCCGGCCGGGGGCTGGGCACGGAGAAGGGGGACTGGGGTAGGAAGAGCTCAGCTCAGGCTGCCTGTGGGTCCCCCTCTTCTGCAAGAGTGAGGCATGGGGGAGGCATTCCTACACAGGAGGGGCTGCAGCCAGAGAGGCCACTGGGAGCACCTGGCCTCTGCGGGTGGGAGAGGGCGGGAGATGGCCCCGCCCGCCGTGGGGAGGGGGTGCAGGCAGACCCCGGCCCCTCACTGCAGGACTCAGCGTTGCCCTTTACTGGCCCCCATAGAGCTCAGGACCTTGTGGGCTGGGGGCTGCACACACCAGGCCCCCAGGCCAGGCAGAGCCCACGGCCTCAGAATTCCAGAAGGGTCTGCAGGAAGCTGCTTCCTGCTCAGTGGCCCCTCATCCTCCAGCCTCCCACCCCACCCCCCGAGTCCGTCTTCCACTGTAGAGGGTCTGAAGCATTCCGGACCCCAGCCGCTTTGCCCCAGAGACAGCTTCAGGTTGGATGATCCTGCTAAGCTCTGCATTTCTCAACACTATCTTCCCCAGGGCCTGGGAAATGCGACCCCGCGGCGGTGTGGGCACGGCAGCAGGACAGGCTGCGGGGGGGAGGGGAGGGGCGGGCAGCAGGCAGACCCTCGGGCCAGGGAGGCAGCCACTTCCTCAGCTTTGCAGCCACAGGGCGCTGGCTGCTCGGGCCCAGGGTGTCTGGAGGAGGTGGCGTTGGCCGCAAATTGGATTTTACACCTCTGGCCACAGGTGCGAGGCCTCGGGCCTTCAGGCGCCAGGAGGGCCGCACGTGTGAGTGCACAGCCCAGCTCTGCTGGCCAGGCTGGGGGTGGGCCACAGAGGGGAGGTACTCAGGGCAGGGTAGCCCGGGGCGGGGCAAGGATGGGCGTGGGGGTGGAGAAGCAGGAGACAGCTGGCCGGCCCCCTGCGCCCCGCCTGGCCGCCCGAGCCCAGGGGCCCTGGCTTGCCTGCACAGGCATTGCCTCTGCTCACTCTCGGCCGCCTGACCTTGGAGCGTCTGGGGGGTGGGGGGGTGCAGGAGAGGCTGCCAGGACCCCAGCACCCTCTGCCGCCCCGCCGGCACCACTTGCTGACCCTGGGGGTAGCAGGTGTTCCGGGGCAAGGCATTGGCGTGGATGGGCTGAGGGCAGCACGGGGCCAGGAGGAGAGTGCCCGGGGCAAGGCTGATGGCAGCAGTGGCCACCACCTAGCTGGACTCTGAACTTCCCCGCTGGAGAGTGATGCGTCAGGGTGACCTTGGGCTCCTGCTGTCTGGAGCGGCAGAGAGGTCAAGAGCCGAGCCAGCCATCTGAGTGCAGGCAGCGAGCGACCGGCCAGCGGGTGCCCGTCTGGTGCCCGCACAGAATGGGCCAGGGCCGCGATGACTGGCGGTACCCACTGTGCCCTCCCGGAGCCGGCAGGATTGGGGGAGCACCCCCGCCCTGTCCCTTCCTCTCCTGGGAAGGCCCAGAGAGAGACCAGGCTCCCTGAAGTTCCACAGCACGTGGCAGCAGAACCAGACTTGGAACCAGTCTCCACATCTCCAGGCCAGACACGAGTCATGGGAAGCCAGAGGCTGGCTGCATTGAACTTTCCTCTTGGGGAGCGTGTGGGTGCTGGGAAGAACCTGGCTTCAGCACCGAGTTGGTGGAAGAGAGGTGTTTGTTCAACATCGGTCACAGCCCAGGGGCACTCATGGCTCCCTCCCCCGAGCCTCGGTTTCCCATCTGTAGAATGGGACTATTAGAGCCTCCAGCAGGAGGGTGACGGGAGCCAGGCCTGCACAAGGCTGGGGCTCAGGCTCCACCTGCGCTGGCTGTGCTGTGCCTGCTCCCAGCTTGCCGCAGAAGCCCAAGAGGACCCTGCTGTGGGGACCCCCTGCCCAGGGTCCGGATCCGGCACTTCAGGCCCCTCGGACCCTGAGCTACAAACCTGTGAGGCCCCCTGCTGAGCCAGGCTTGGGGTGGGGGGCCGCGTCCAAGGAGCCCTTACACTCCGCGTGTACACTGTCAACCACACACAATCTCAGCAACTCCTCCTCTCCCCAGGACACAACTCAGGCAGACAACCAAACACAACCAAACGAAGCAGAAGACAAAATTAAAGACAGAGTGCCTTCCTCTCCCTGAGGGGCTGTCCACCGGGCACCGTTGCCCTCAGATGTTTTCTAGCGCTGCCGTGAGGCCATCGCCGTGCGGCTTACAGACTCCGTAAGCAGCACAGCCTCCTCTAAGGCAGCTCAGTGATACGGTGTTGGGGCAGGGGGAGTAGAAAACATGAGGGAACTCGTTAAACAGACAGCAGAGCGGGGAGGCTCAGCTAGTGTCTGTAGCAGTTGTCATGACTGTGGAACAAAACAGCCCCCAACAATGCCACTGACCCTCCTTTAGGCTGGGGCCCTGCAGGGACAGCTCGTCTCTGGTCCTGGTTTGGAATCACCCGCAGATTTGTTCAGCCGCAGGCCTGCTGGTCAATGCCGGCCGTTGACTGGGATCCGACCTAGGGTTGCTGGCCTGACACTGGCATGTGGCCTCTCCCTGTGGCCTGGGCTTCTGCACGGCTGGCCGCTGGTCCCAGGGAGCATCCCCAGAGGGAGAGCCCTGCAGAAACGGCATCCTAGTCTGAGACCTCATCTCCGAAGTCACATAGCATCACTGGGACTGCAGTGAGCAAAGCTGAGCCCGCCCAGGTTCATGGGGAGGGAGGGAGACGTCACGTCTTGGGAAGAGGGGCAACATGGCCGTCTCTGGAAAGCACACCCTGCCCCCGTCCCCTTCACTTCCATCTTCACTCGCTGTGCCGTGACTTCACTCTTCATCAGAGCGAGGAAGGCCTGCCTGCCGTGGGCACCGTGGGAACACACACTGCCCCGGGACCCCCTCTGGGCTCGGTCCTCTCTGCCCTACCCCCACCCTCAGATCTCTCGCCCTTGGGCATGGCTCCCATGTCCTCTCCGCCTGTTGACTCGGTAGCCCTGGACATGTGGCTGGTCAGCCTCACTGCAGCAGAGCCATGCTGTGACCACCAGGCGAACAGAGCTCCTTGGTGCCAGCTCAGGCAGACCCTGGGGTGGACATGGTGTGACCCCGTGGGGGAGGCAACTTGGAGAGGCATGACCTCCACTGTCTCCTGCAGATGCCCCGCCCTGCAAGACCGCACCCCTCCTCCTGGGCACTGTTCCTGGAGGGGTCGTCCAGGGGTTGTTCACTGTGCTCAAGGCCAGCTGCTTAGGGGGATGGGGAGACCAGTAAATCCTCTAGGCAACAGGCATTGCTTTACTCTGAAAACAGTTTCTTGCTTGGAAGTAAGAGGCTCTGGAGTAAGAAAGGCGCTTCTCAACAAAGTGGCCGCTTGTCTTGATTAGCTCAGAAACATCCAGCAGTCTTGCTAAGCTGTTCACACAATCTCTCCAGCCACTCTGTACCCACCCATCCATCCATCCACTCACCCATCCACCTACCTATCCATCTATCCATCCACCCATCCACTCACCCATCCACCTACCTATCCATCTATCCATCCATCCATCCATCCACCTACCTACCCATCCATCCACCTACCTACCTATCCACCCACCCTATCTATCCATCTACCTACCCATCTATCCATCCATCCATCCACTCACCTATGCACCTACCTATCCATCCATCCACTCACCCATCCACCTACCTATCCATCTGTCCATCCGTCCATCCATCCATCTACCTACCCATCTATCCACCCACCCATTCACCTATCCATCCACTCACCCATCCACCTACTTATCCATCTATCCATCCATCCATCCACTTACCTACCCATCCATCCACCTACCTATCTATCCACCCACCCTATCTATCCATCTACCTATCCATCTATCCACCCATCCAGCCATCTACCTACCTACCCATCCGTCCACCTATCTACCTATCTATCCATCCATCCACTCACCCATCCACCTACCTATCCATCCATCCATCCATCTACCCACCCATCCACCTATCCATCCACCCACCCATCTACCTGTCTATCCATTCTTCCACCCATCCATCCCCTCAGCCATTACACACCCAATTATTCTCTCGATAACTGCATGGTCCAAGTACTGCCCTCTCACCTGGGCTTGACTCAGGAAGTAAACCAGGACCTCTGCCCACTGGAAGCCCCTAGTGTGGAGGGGGATTCA